ATAAAATAAATAACTTTATTTATTTATCTTTATGCTTACCTCCAAATCCAATCTTTGAGTTGGGATATTCTCAAGATGATTCAGTTCACATCTTGTCAAGCAACAGATCAAAAACATAAAATAACCCCTTCTGTTTGGATTTTTTTGCGCAGTCACAGACGCGACCAAAAACCAATAAGTTACACTGAAAAAAATGCATATTATCTTAAAAGTCTTCATAGTTCACTTTTTTTTTTTTTTTTTATACACTTAGTTGTTTCGTTTTTTCTTTTGTTTTTGTTTTTTTTTGCTACAAAATATAATACAAGGCTTTTAAAAAATAAAAAAATAGTTCTTTATTTTTAAAGAAAAAAAAACTTATACTATCATTATGATTGATTATTATATTAATTTCTTTTTTTTTTTTGTTATTTTTAAGATTTTCGTTAGAGAGTGAGTATTCGAAACTAAAAAGCCAAATTTCAAACTCCTTCTTGGCTATTTAATTTACGATTAAGAAATTGTTTACTTTTGATAGTGTTCAAAAAAAAAAACACTGTCAAACCCATTTAATAGTTGATCGTCTTTTTATATATCTAGGCGTCTTTTTACAGTATGCATAAAAAAGTACTATTACTTCTATTATCGTTATGTACTCCATAATTTTAGTCTAACTTAATTCATAAAATGGAATTCTGAATCACCGAAAATACACCCTAAAATATATATCTGTATATATATCTGTATTATTTATAAAAAAAAATTCCATATGTATATAACGGTTTGTACAGTACATAGATACAGTACGTACGTATGTACTGTACGTACGAAGTACGTAGGGTACATGCAGGGCCGTACGTACGTTTTAAATATCCGAGACCCCTTGACCGTCCGCGGAAAGTTCTCAACTAGGTTATAAAGTTATTAATATATAGATATAACTTATGTGTAAATTGTAAAAATTAAAATTCTCAATGACTTTATGAATGAAAGCAATGAAATTTTGCGTCATTCGGGTCATCGGGTTATACGATGCCCGTTGTTCGTATACGTACGTACGTACGTACGTACGTACATGTAAAACTATGTATCACTTGCCAAGAACTATACTTAACAAATTTATACCTTTGAAACATTGAATAGAAAAACTTTACCAAAATCGTTTTTAAGGAATCAAGATAATAATAATATTTTAGTTTATTCTAATTATTTCAAAGAGTGTTACATACAGTATCTCTTTACAACCATTTTAACAAAAAAAGATCAAGGTTTGAGCTGATCATTTAGGATTTCCTAAATTCTTAGGGAGTCACCCGGTAAACTTAAAATACGTATCATTGATTCATTTTGGCAATATTGAAAAAGAAGATTCTATCTAATCGAAAAATTGTTCTAAAATTAACTTTTATTAACTTTTTTCGTTATTAATGTATTATAGAAAGTATTATCGTGAAACAGAATTCTAGTTTTTAATTAATTGCATTAATTGTGATAAAAAAAAAAAAAAAAAAAAAAAAAAAAAAAGAATAATACGTAACAATTATAAATTTATACGAATTCGATGCGATGTCGGTTCAGTATTTGACAATGAATTAAGAAATATATATTAAGAAATTAGCAAGTTTTATATCCTTTTAATGTAC